CAACAGCAGCAGCAACCCTAAACCCTAAACCCTAAAGTGGTTGTGACACTGATTGCTGATTGCGACGGTATGCTGGTGTTTGTGGTCTGGCGCCACGAAGATGGTGATGGCGGTGGTCGTGGTGGTGGTGGTGGTGGCGTGGTGAGTATCATGACAATGTCGCTGATGCTGCGAATGTTCAACCGAGAGGTTGCTGACGAAATGGACGGTGATGATTATCTGATAATGATGAATATGATGGTGTTATTGATGATGATGATGACCATCATCATCATCATCATCATCATGATCGAGATGATGAGGGTGATGGTGCGGATGAGGATGATGACGGTTATGGATTCAAGAGCGTGCGCGTGCCAGGAAGAGTCTTTGGGCTTGATCCGAGTCAAGGTCAAAGCTGAGAAGGACGAATCGGCTGGTGGGCCAACTTGGGTCCCTAAACCCCTAAACCCCTAAACCCCTAAAGCCCTAAACCCCTAACCACCTAAATCCTCAAACCCCTAAACCCCTAAACCCTTAAACCCTGAACCCCTAAATCGTAAGCCTCAACCGTTAGGGTGCAGGGCCTAGGGCCTGGGCCTAGGGTCTAGGATTTAAGGTTTAGGGGCCTAGGGTTTGGGGCCATACCTACGATTTAGGTTTAGGGTTTAGGGTTTAGCGAGCTCGAAACCCCTGGCCCCAAACGGTCAACGATCTTTAACCCACAAATTTCAGACTTCCATCCGGAACCCTCCCAAGTACGGGGGGTGTCTCGGAATGCCCCTAAACCCTAAACCCTAAACCCTAAACAGCGGATGGGGAGATCGTGAGTGTGAGAGAGAGAGATGAACAGAGAGATGAAGGAACAAAGGGAGCCGGGGACGCGCGGAGGGCAGAGATGCATCTCCTGCTTTCTTGGTTCTTCTTTGTGGTGAAGAAGAAGACATAGGGTGTAGGGTGTAGGGTTTAGGGTTTAGAGAGAGAGAGAGAGAGAGAGAGAGAGAGGGAGAGAGATAGGGAGCACTAAACCAAAGCCCTAGCCCTAGAAAGCCTCCTGTAGAACCGCGGGAGTCAAGTGTCCTGGCATAACAGCCAATATACGTTCTTTTAAGGGTTTCTCTGAGGGTTTCTATCAGGGACCCTGTACTACTATAGGCAGATAGACAAAGGGTACTTTAAAGGAAGGCCGTTATTATGGGATCTGCCTGTTGGATCCGCTCTGGGTAGGTATATCCCTAAACCCTAAACCCTTACAGATCCTAAGATTCCAAACAGCCCAAAGCAGGTCCTGATTTACTAAAAACCCCTAACCCGAAGCTCCATAAACCCCAAATCCCTAAGCTCCATAAGCCCTAAATCCTGAGCTCTATAAAGCCTAAACCCCAAGCCTCGAAGGCAGGTTCTGGTTTAGGGGCTTATGAGGGTTCTAGGTTTTGGGTTTCTAGTTTAGGTTTGAGGGTCTAGGGTTGAGTAGGGTTTGGGGTTTAGGGCTCTATACCCAGAATTTCGGGAGGAGCTAGACAGTAGAAGCATGGGTTTGGGGCCCTGTGCAACTAAAGGGGACTGTATAAGAACGGGCATACACACCCTAAAGTGTTTACTAGTGGTATGCTTGAAGTCGCTGAACACCCCACGGGTACTTTTGATGGGACCTACTTGTTGGATACTCCCGGGGGGTCTGGGTAGGAATACACTGTACACGGTATAAGGATCATAGCAAACTTGAAAAGCGGGCGAAGGAATCATCTCGGTAAGCGTGGCGACGTCAGCATCAATCCCATTATCGTCATCGCGGTGCATGCCGCCATCGACCTAAACCCTAAACCCTCAACTCCAAAACCCTAAACCCTAAACCCTCAACTCCAAAACCGTATAGACTCCAAAACCCTAAACCCTAAACCCTCAACTCCAAAACCCTAAACCCTAAACCCTAAACCCTATAGACTCCAAAACCCTAAACCCTAAACCCTAAACCCTCAACTCCAAAACCCTATAGACTCCGGACCCTAAAGTCGACCCAGAAGTCTTCAGCTCAAACCCGAAGCCCTCGGTTTAGGGTTTTAGGGTTTAGGGTTTTAGGGTTTAGGGTTTAGGGTTTAGGGTTTTGGTTTTAGGGTTTAGGGTTTAGGGTTTAGGGTTTTGGGTCTAGGGGTTTGGGTTTAGGGTTTTGGTTTAAAGGGTTTGGGTTTAGGGTTTAGGGTTTAGGGTTTTCTCCGGAGGATGAGAAGGAAGGCTTTGTGACGGTGGCCGGAAATCAGGGCAGCCCGGCCTTAGGGTTCAGGGTTTAGGGTCTCAGGAGGGTTTAGGGTTTAGGGTTTAGGGTTCAGGGTTTTGGGTTTTGGGTTTTGGGTTTAGGGTTTAGGGTTCAGGGTTCAGGGTTTAGGGTCTCAGGATTATGCCGTAGGTTTCAGGAGGGTGCTTTCGGGGTTTAGGGTTTGGAGTTTGGTCCTACATCCTCAACGCTAAACCCGCTGCCCCAGAGCAAAGAGGTACTGGTAAGTATGTGCTCGGGTAGAAAAGAGATTATGCATCTTGAACAACCCAAACCCAGCTTGGTGTAGGGTCCCTATATATAAATGCTATATTTGGGTTTATAATACGCACCTACAGAAAAGTCATAGTCGGTTATGGTAAAGCAGCAGGTAGGCACTAAACCCTTAACCCTAAACCCTAAAACCCTAAAACCCGAAAGCCCAAAAACCCCTAAAACCCCTAAACTCCTAAGCCCCGAAACCCCTGAACCCTAAGCCCTAAACCCCTAAACCCCCAGACCCGGCCTGCGCTCCGAGGGGCCCTTTATTCAAGGGTCCCTTTTAAGGGTTCCTTTTAAGGGTCCCTTTCAAGGGTGCCTTTCAAGGGTTCCTTTTTAGGGTTGAGGGTTTAGGGTTTAAGGGTCCCTTTCAAGGGTCCCTTTTAAGAGTCCCTTGTAAGGTTTTTTTTTGAGGGTTCCTTTAAGGGTTCCTGTAAGAGTCGTCAAGGGCTCTCTTCAGGATTCCTTTACGGGATTGAGGGGTCCCGAACTTTGGCATCGTGATCGAACGGGCTTGGGGTATCGATCCTTCCTCGATCCTAAACCCAAACCGTATAAGCAATCTAGGCCTTTTGCTTAGATGCCGATCCACCGAGACAATTGTAACCTGCATTTCTTTGTCTTCATGGCATCTTCCTGGCTCTACTCAAAGGCCTATGTACTACAACCCCTTTAACCTCCCCTACAACTCTACCAACCCTTGCACCACCTATTGAAACTATTGTAGCCTCAATAGAAATCCGTAAAACCCTTATATCCCTGAGCCCTACACCCCTAAACCCTAAACCCTAAACCCTTGTAACACCCTTTGAACTTATTAAGGCTCCCCGTATTGCATGCCCGAAGCCCTCCGTCATCACAACACCCAAGCCCTGAAGACCTGGAACCAAAGCAAATTGAACCGTCAATCCTGGGTGGAGTTTAGGCCCCAAGCCCTAAACCCCTAAACCCTAAGCCCCTAAACCCTAAATCCTAAACCCTAAACTCTAAACCCTAAACCCTAAACCCCTAAACCCTAAACCTCTACTATAGTCGTGCCGCCCGCATCCGCCGTTCTTGAAGTTCTTATGTGTGACAGTTTATATTCCTTCCTGCTGTAGCAACGGTGATGCTTCTCATGATGTTGTGCTGCTCTAGACGTCGACGCGAGTCGACAATCGGATTATCTTTGATGACATCGTGCTCAACATCATGATTGTCGTCGTCATCTTCATCATCAGTACCATAGGGGGTTGGGGGGGTGCCCGGGACCCGAGAGCATATACATATGTAGAGTATAATCTGCCCCTCCCAAACCCGATTCTAATTCTTCGGGTCCGCTTTCTTGCTCCCAGGCACCGTGTACCTGGAGCCTTACACCGCTTATGTCGCCTTCCAGAAGAGCCCGCGACCCGAGTCGTCTAGGCTCTGAAGCCCATCGCAGTTAGACTGTTACTATCACTGATCCTACTCATGACAGCAATCTCAACAAGAATATGTGTAGTAATCGTATTAATTAAGTAACAACGATAATGATAATAATACCAATACTGATGATGCTATTGATGATAGTTGCTATGAGAGCAACAAGAATACAAACTATATTCATTTTATAGCATCAAGTATGCTCAAGGGTTTAGGTTTTGGGTTCAAGTCTGGGGTTCAGCGTGTAGCATTTGAGGTTGCAGAGTTTGCCCTGCACCCTAAACCCTAAACCCGTTTCTGGAGCTTAGGGTTGCTGGTCTAGCGCTTTCAACCCCGACGCCCAAAAGTCACACTACCTAGCGTAAAGGCCAAAAGGCTTAATCCTAAAGCCTCAAAGCATCCTAAACCCCAAATCTCAAACTTAAGACCTTATACCCTAAGCCCTTGAACAAAAACGCCCAAGCCCTACACTTGACATCTTGAAACCCCAAAACTTCCAGCCTGAAGCAAAAACCCTGAGCTACGGGCATGAAGCCCTAAAGTAGGTTTCGGGTTTAGGGGGTTGGGGTTTAGGGTTTAGGGTTTAAAAGTTGGAAGCCCAACGCAGAAACGAATCCTTAAAAGTAGTGTATGGGGAATCCCACTACTGACGTGTCCTTAATCCGATTTCCAGCTTTCTTGAGTTTGCTATACATCCCTACCCTAAACCCTAAACCCTACTAGGGTACTGTAAAGACTCAAAGTCTTAAGTGTCTGAACCCTAAACCCTACTATGACTATAACCCTAAACCCTAAACCCTACTATGATACTGTAAAGACTTAAGGTCTTAAGTGTCTGAACCCTAAACCCTACTATAACACTAAACCCTAAACCCTACTATGATACTCTTAAGACTTAAAGTCTTAAGTGCCTTAATCCGGTGTCCAATTTTTGGGTGTCTACTCTACGGGCTTTTTGGGGTTACCCTAAACCCGAAACCCTAAACCCTAGAAGTGCGTTTAGGGCGAAGATTGCTGCATTAAGGCTTTTATGGTTTAGGGTTTAGGGGGTTGGGGTTTAGGGCTTTGGGTGTAGTCTAGGGCTTCGGGTTTAGGGTTTATTTATTGGGGTCTAGGGCTTCGGGTTTAGGGTTTGGTGCTGGGGGTTTATTTAGGTTTCATGTCCACATGATGAAGATTTCAATTGCTTTCAGGGCTTCAGGGGGTTATAGTTATAGTGTTGTATAAACCCTAAGCCCTTAAACCTCAAAGCCTGAAACCTCAAATCGTAAACCCTAAAACCTCGAACCCTAAGCCCATAAACCTCAAGCAATAAGCCCTTAAACCTCATACCCTAAACCCTAAAACCTCAAACCCTAAGCCCTAAACAGTGTAGTGTTGAAATGTCAGGGTTTCCGAGTTTTAGGTTTTAGGCTCGTTGGTGTCTCGAAGATGGTTCGGCTCCTGTGGGTTAAGGGGGTTTAGGGCTTAGGGTTTAGGGGTTTAAGGTTTAGGGTTTAGGGTTTAGGGTTTAGGGTTTAGATTGAGGGTTTTGGGAGCATTAATCCCTCAACCCTAAACCACATCTTGATTTCTAGACCTAAACCGCCAAGACTGAATCTGTCGATTATGGCGTCAGGGCTCCTAAGTACAGAACTCATGGGGTCATCCTTTGAACAAATGAACCTCCAAGGACACCTCAATCTCAGGTTCCAAGCCTCTGCATTTTCATCTGGATACAGCCAGTACGTGGTCAACATGCAGTTGGCGCATCCTCGGAAACCCTAAACCCCAAACTCCTAAACCTTAAACCCTAAACTCCTAAACCCAGAAGCCTAAATCCTAAATTCCTAAACCCTACATCCTTAACTCCTATACCCGAAACCCTCAACCCGAAACCCTAAACCGGCGGTCCGTCAAGGATGCGGCATTCAACTCCGAGGACGTTGACGGATCATTGGGAGCGATTGCCGCCATCAAGTGGTTGGCAGACCGAATGCCAATCGCGCCTGAGTGCCGTGAAGCAGGCACAGAACGCCCTCATCAAGGCCAACAGGGCCCGTGCGGACGCAGCCAAGGAGAATGCAAAGAAGCAGAAAAGATTGACGGCCAAAGCGCAGGCGGAGGCCAATGAAGGTGCAGCGCCGCTCGACGAAGGTGAGCCCGTAGTGGGAATCCAGGCCGGGCCCTTGTATGTAAACCTCCAACGCCTGAACCCTAAACCCTGAACTTTAAACCCCTTTAACCCTTTGCACTAAACCTCCAAAGCCTAGACCCTGAACCCTAAACTTTAAACCCTAAACACTGCCTAAACACTGAACCTCCAAAGCCTAAGCCCTAAACCCTAAACCAAACACCTGCTGAGGCCTAGAGAAGGACCTCAAGTCTCTCAGGGAGACGACGGCCGAGGTGGGCAAGTACTTGGACAACAAGGCAGACCAGGGATTCAGGGTTTAGGGTTTAGGGAGGGTTGAAAGGATTGTTAGGGGGCCGTTTGCTTATAGGACTTCGAAAGGCTTATTGGAAGAAGCTGTTCGGGTGTACTAGCAGGGTTTAGGTTTTCGGGTTTTGGGTAACCCTAAACCCTAATCCAAAACAACCCTCAACCCTGGGCTGTAGGGTTGGTGTCTAGGGCCCAGTCTGAGGGTCTTTGTGCTTCGGGTTTGTATTTGGGGTTTTACGGGCTGAGGCTGCCGAACACCGTACAGAAATAGGGTTTAGGGTTTAGGG